GGCGGCGGCGGAGGACGGGGGCCCCTTGCGCGAGCGCGGGCAGGCGGCCCCGGAGAACCGCGGGCGCAGCCGCGGGCCAGCCAGGGCGCACTGGCCGCCGGTACGCTGGTAAGATGCCCTTTCAACTCGCGCCCCAGCGGGAGGGAAGAAGGCGGCCCCGGGCCCACGCCCCCCAGCTCTTGAACTCTGGCCCTTCGGACCAGGACTCCCTACTCCTGCTGGCTCCACGTCTCCTGTTTCACCTGGAAGCCCGGGGTGGGGGTCTCTGCCAAGCCTCCGGGGCCGTCGGCTGCCCCATCCGGAGTCTGAGGAGTGCCCCCTTGGGGCCTGGGGAAGTTATCTCCGGAGGAGGTGCTTTGGGGTTACCGGAGCCTCGCCGGGTTCCTGTCTCCTGCTACTCTTGTTGGGTGCCCTGACTTGCTTTGTGCATATGGGTGCTGGTGCCTCGCTCCCGCCTAAGTGCGTAGATCGCGGCCGGGATCCTCAGCCGATGGTCAGGGGTAGTTCTGGCAGCACCTTTGTCGAGTTGGGTCAGACAACTCAGCTCTGTCTCCCTGCCTCCTCGTCGTCTTTGCTCTGCCTCGAAGGGGTTCTGGGGGCAGGCGGTGTCCCAAGTCCCCAAACATGTCCCTGAATCAGACTCACTCGTGGGTGCTCTGTCTTACTTTGGGTTTCTGGGCTGCTGTTGTCCCTTGACGTGTCCCTGTCTCCTATCTCCTGTCTCTGGGTGGCTAACCTTGCTGTCTAACGTCCCTTTTCTGACTGCACCATGTCCTGCTCTCTAATCTCAGAGCACGGACCTTTCTCCGACCTGGTTGCCTCTGTCTCTGTGTGTGTGTGGCCGGTTCCCATCACCAGCCGTGTGTCTAACCACACTGCCAGGACTTTTGTGGGTTTTCTGTGCTCTTCTGGGGTGTGAACAATCAAGGCTCTGAAACTGTTCCTTCCGCACATCTTGAGCTGTCTGGGTGACTGAGTGGGAACTGACATGGCTTCATCCCCAGCGCCCAAATTCTTTGAGAATGTCTTCCACACCTTCTCCAGGCTGCCTTGCTAGGGAGGTCAGAGTCCCACTCTGCGCCAGGGTCTCAGCTCCCCATGGCCATGAGGGTCTGTCTTCAGCCATAGTGATGTCTGGTGTCTGAGTCTGCGACTTTCTCCTGCCGCTTGCCTGCAGAGATTCTCCTAGTCCTTGGGGGAGAGTAGACACCAAGGAGGGTCGTTTCAGAATCTTTGTGGACTAGATGCATATCGCTATCACTGGTCGCTTTGGGAGCCCTCACTGCAGGCTGCCTTCGGGCTTTCTCATCTGCTAAACTTCTTCGGTGTCACTGTAGATCCTCTTTGTGCTTGTGGGCTGAGGCAGCCCCAAGACGTGATGTGATGGCATTTCACGCTGCTGCCTGCTCTGTGTAGGTAGCAGGGAGAGGTGTTTCCCTCCTTTGTGGAGAGGAGGGTGGAGTGGGATTCCTCATGGAGAACCAGAACATGCCCAGCGTCCTTCTTTACAGCCAAGGGCACTCTGAGATCCTGCCTCTGAACTCCTGGAGCTGCTGGTGATGTGTTCAGGCAGAAATGCAATTCAAAGTTCTTTTTGGATCCAGAGCTCGACTGGGAGGTGGGGTGGGGGAAGGGGTTTGGGAGCATGTACTGCTGGCTGGTCCAGTGTGGGAACATGCAGTGTAGGTGAGGAGGGCGTGGGGTTTACTATATTCTTTGCATCTGGGGTTCACATGGGTGGCACAAGATGCCTCTGGGTGAAAATCCCACCTGTTGAAACAAGTGGAGAGGAGGGTGGCTGGGCTGCCCGATTTCTCCAAAGTCCCTGCGCATTCCGTCCACACGCCCTCTTCGTGGGTTCAGTTCAGCGTCTTCTTCTCTCACCTTGCAGCTCAGCCAGAGAGGTTTGCAATTGGAAGTGGGTGGGGAGCAAGCGATTTTCCTTTCTGATGCATTTTGGAATTCCAGTTTCAGCTGCAGAGTTGCTTTGGTTTTCTGAAACTCTGCTTCTTCTCCAGGTTCAATTACTAGCCCCCTACTCACATATCTAATGTTCCAATTTCTTTACCTTCTGATAGAGACATAATTTTTTTTTTCTTTCCTCTTCCTTTCGTAGTTCTCTACCATGCTGTTAGCTGTTGTCTCTCCTGGATCTACATTTTATTTTATTTACTGACCTCTCCTCTCTTTCCCCTCCAGCTGCTGCTTTATGCCACCCCCTTGGCCTCCCTCACATCAACCCCTATAGATGCCGAAATCACAACACAGACATGCTGGGTGGAGCCAGTCTCTTCTCTTAGCTGTGCCCACCCAGCCCCTGCCCTTCCCTGGAGCTCAAGGAGACCAGAAGGGGGCAGGCTGTTCCCAAAGTCTGTTAGAGCCGGAGCTTGGGTTGCAGGCAAGGAAAGGACCCGATAGTTTCGCAAGCCACAGAGGCCCTTGCAATGTGTCGTTTTTTTCCCACACCCTGCCAGAGCTGCTGGTGTGAAGCTTTGGAAGCAGATTCGGAAGTGGGACGTAAAAAAAGAACACCAAAAAACCAAAATCCTGTGATTTTCCAGATGGCTCTTGTAGAGAGCTGGGGAGGCATATGCTTGAGAGTGATGCTTCATCTCCCTGCTCTGTTGCCAGTGGTGGTGGTGGTGGTGGTGGTGGGGTTTGTGGTATTTGCATACAGAGGGCATCCACACCAGCCTACTGGTGGTGGGTGTGTCTCAGAGTGTCAGGCAGAACTCAGAAACCGAAACACAGTCCTTGCGCAAGCATTGTTATAGAGCATTTTCAAAGTGCCTCCTTATATAAGCCCACTTTTCCAGAGCTTCTGCGCACCCCCATTTTATGTTTGGGGAGCTGCATTTTTAGTCGACCAACCTGATTGTATTGTTGGTGCATTTAGGAAGCCAGGAAGAAGCACCCAGCTTCCCAAGCAGACCAAGTCCGGGAAGGTGGTCGCAAGATGGGCATTTCTGTCAAAGATGCACAAGGTCCCCTTTGCCTCTTTCCTCAGCCACTTGCAAGCTCTTAAATATGGGGATTGTTGGGTGGATGGCAGCTGAGTTTGATGGAGGTAACACTGATTCCTCCATTGGGTCTGCAGTAAGCTGTGAGTTTTACTGTCGTCTCAAAATTTGAAAAACAGACAGGCTCTCTTATAAAGGCAGGGAAAACATTTGGGGGTGGTAGTGAAAAAGATCACACTGTGGGTTCTGAGTGGATTCTGGAGAAAGAATGAACGAGAGCAGTCTGAGTTAATGTAAAGAATGTTTATTTTCTTTCCCTTTATCTTGCTCTTGAAGTCCTTGCATTTATTGGTCGTGCCCTTTGATTAACTGTTCCTCCGTAAGTTTCATTTAAGAAACTTAATTTTTTATTGCCCTTCATCCTCCTCTCCCTTAAAGCAGACTGGAGTTTCTGTATTGTCTGACCCCTTTAAAATGTTGATTTTCTGGCAGAAATTCCTCATGCTTCACATTACTCAGATAACTCAGGACTTTCTCAGACATCAGCAGTGACTTTGAAAAATCAGCTCACTGTATCCAGATCGCCTCTGGTTCTAACAGCTTCAGAGACATAGCTACCTAAATGTTTTGAGACCAGAGGGAACAGAGGGTATTTTATTGATGGTTCTTTTTTTTTTTTTTTTTCACACTCTCAGTGGAGTTTTATTTTGTTTGAGCAATACATTGCACTTTGTATACAGAAAGAAATATGCATCGTCGAACAATATTTATCTTAATGCAAATATTGCCATCTGCTTAATCATATGCTGGAAAATGTTAGATAAAATACATAAATAAAAGTAGAAGCTATTATATACATAGGTATATAAGTATATGCAAATATAAGCGTAATTATATGTATATATACATATATATGGATCCCTGGTGGCGCAGTGATTAGGAGCTCGGCTGCTAACCAAAAGGTTGGCAGTTTCAAATCCACCAGCTGCTCCTTGGAAACCCTATGGGGCAGTTCTGCTCTGTCTTGTAGGGTTGCTATGAGTCAGAATCGACTTGATGACCATGGGTTTGGTTTTGTTTTTTATACACATATAGAGGTATATATCTATATAGACATATATGTATAACAATAATAATTATAGGTAGATATAGTTAGACAGTAGATACATAGATATAGACAGGTAGATAATTACCTTCCTTCCAGTCTTCTCATACTTTGCACGTTCACGTGAGTGTATCAGTTCTCCTTTGTATCTTCCAGAAGGCTGAGTGGCAAAATGCTGCTATTATGCAGATAGGGAGCTGAAGTGAAAGTTCACATGTAGTGAGGATTGTCCAAGCTTTGATCTGTGGTGTTAATTGTAAAGGAAATTTGGTGTCTTGAGCTAGAGCAGACTTGATGTGTGTGTATGTGTGTATTTCCCAGAAAACAAAAATGTCCTTAAGGGCATCTCTGTAGTAAGGGCCCACACGCTCACCCAGAGCTATTTATGGTCAGTAGGGATGTAAATCAACATGCAGAAAGAAGACTAAAATGCACAGCTATTGGACTGCATGGGGTGAGAGGACTGAACGGGGCTGGGTTTTTTGCTTAATGTTATCCTAAGAGTTGTCATTTCTGTTCTGTCTTCCTTTGTGTCTCTCCGTTTATATCGACCCAAATCTTTGTTTCCAGAAACAAAGAGAAAATTGTTTGGGGAAAATAAACAAAACCCAAGTTCAAAGGAGGGGGGTGTGAGAACAGGAGAAAAAGTCACGAGAAATGTATGCCAGACCCTGGCACAAACAAAAGAGAACTCCCTGAAGTATCCTTGGCTCGGATATACCTGGGTTCGAATCCAGCTTTGCTCCTGACCGTCTCCATAATCTTGGGCGGGTTCCTTTAACTTTCTGCATCTGTAAATTTGTCCACAGTATGCGGTTGTGTGAGCATGAAATGTAATAATGCGTGTGAACCGATTTTGGGCCTAGCATATAATAAACTCTCAAATGTGAGCTTTTGTTCCTAAAAAGAAATTCTTGGTCTGTTTGAAAATAACCAATTTTTTGCAATTATTCATTTTCCCACACAAAGTAGGGTTTGAGGGCCATCCAGGGCAGCCAGATGAATCCAGCTCCTTCTGTGTGTGCCTGTCTTGGAGCCGGATG